GGAAACCGGTGTGGGTATGTAGAAAAAATACGTAGTATCACAGGTGTCGCAGCAATTCAGTTAATGTCAAATTCGACGGGGCAGTGATCGCTGACTTCTTTTGCCTAAAATAAGATTACCACCAACGTCACATGTCCTTATAACAAAATGAAGGGTCGGAGGTCACTGCGCTGCTTCAAGAGGCTGAGCACTGTCAGTGGTATAAACGAGTGTACACACGAAAGAGGTGCAGATGCATCCGCATCAGCAAAGCATCAAATTGATGCTACTTTCGGGCATATAAGTTTGCATTAGGTGTTAGGTGAAGGACAACTTGGTAACCAACCTTCTATAGGTCCAGCTTGTATTCCTCTCGAAAGTTGAAAGGATTTGCAGTAGGAATTCGTCTTTCCATTTCGGGGCTCTTGACTATGACCCTGCAAGTCACAGCGCATTCAATTCTCGCTTGCTCAAGCAGTGCTTCCTCTTCATATTTATCACACAACACAATGTTCATCCATCTCCTCATATTAAAAACAGCCTAATTTCACCCAGTATTATAGTGCAGTGATAATCGTTTTGGTTTCCTTGACGCTGAATGGTCGGCGTTTGTAGATCCTCACAGCGGTAAGGCCCCGGGGATCACGCCGGTAGCATCCATCTTTTCAGCACCTTAATGGTACATTTTCGACCCTAGTATCAGGTCTCCAATCATTTCAAGAAGCTGCAAGGTGCTACAGAGCTTCTTACTCGTTTAGGGATCAAAAAACCCCCAATAATGATGATCTGGAAAACCAAACTTCAGTCAGCCAAGGTAAAATTAGCTGTTACATTCAAGAAACTATCGTGAGGCTTCGTAAAACTCAGAATATGGTTCGAAATCGAATGAAGGATTGGAGATATATCATGTAAACTGAAAGAAATTTTAAGAATGGTTGTAGTGTGTAGGATGACTTAGGCACTCAGTAAGAAGTACTCAGGTTTAGTGTAGAGCATTTTTGATAAGCATTTCTATCCCATTGAAACATTGGCTGACAACCGAAACATATCATGGGCACGAAATCTGCCACTGTAGTGGAAATGAGGTGCAGCAATGTTGTCTATTTGTAACATCGGTAGACAATGTGTCTGGTAGGTTTGCCGTAATTTAAAGTGCGTGTGCTGCATCGGTATTGGCATGGGATCAGCTGCAGCAAGCAATTGCCTCCACAAAGTCTGCCCGCTAAGACAAAGCTTTAAATAAGAATTGACAAATGGAAAGGTGGATTTGTCATGGAATCATCAGTCATTTAAAAGAAAGGGTGGTATAACGACATTATTCTATCTTCGCTAAGGTATGTAGGTCTATTCACCCATCTCAGTCAAGTAAGCGAATGGGCCAGATATTTTTCTGCTGTCCAGACGACATGATGCAACTTCCGTTTTCAGATTTATCTTTTCTCACTTCACGGAATCTGTCGGTCCCGACATTAAGTAGCATTCCCATAAGATTTTTTGGACGGAGTGGTGAAATTAGAATAAACCATTGTTTTTTATCATGGCAATGCATATGTCAGGTGAAGTCTTCTATCTAAGCACCACGAGCTGCTTTGCTAAGGACATTGTTAAAACACACAGACACAAGATTAATAACACTCGATCGCTGAGAAATGAAGCGCCTTTCCCTGCATCACCGTCCTTCTTGTAGGCTGTGCTTCACTTACTTGCCAGGAGGTGTAAACAGAAAACACATTTAAATTCCCCTTTTATCTCCTTTGTGATCGGTGCTACACTGAACTGGAGGAACCTTGAAGCTATAAGTTAAAGTAAGTCGTTATTATAAAATCTAATTCAAGGATGCAAGTCGTTAAATCGATAACGAAGATGGATATGGATAGAGGCCGACGGGGCACGACATCCTCGACTACGCACCCCTTGGCCCTTTTCATTTTTACATATCAAGCTTTAGCTTACCGTTGGTGTAGTAAAACGCGGATTTATTACGTGAAAGCAGAAGAATAAAACTGTCTACTGTAACAACATCGAATGCCAAAAGTAAGCTTCCGACTTCTTGGTTAAATGAAATATAAGATTATTTACTACTTTGCTTAGGTAACGAACCATTCTTTTGATATCTGAGTTATTTCAAATTTGGCAGATTCACCAAACGCTAAACTGACAAATGAATTGCGTGGAGGTGGTTGTATGCTCTGAAAAGGCAAAACATTGAGAGAGAAACGAGAGTGATTCATGCAAGTGACAGAAGAAAAATGAACCTGTCATAGGCGCAGCATGTTTCGAATACAGTCGTGTCCATATCATCCGCAATGCGCCATTTATACCGAATGTCTCTTCTCAAACGAAGTTTGTCTCGATCTTCCTTAGAGAGGTAAGAGCAATTGGCGTTCATGTCGCCCAAAAAGACCGGATTCTAAGGGGTTGAAGTGGAAATCGTAGATGTAACCTCAGTTCGTGCATTTCCCTTAACTACGCGGTCCGTTTTTATTGACCAACACATTGTTTTCATTTACCAACAATCTGACTTTCAATTTGGTGCCATGTAGCTTATAATCTCCCATTTATTTTGCCCATTTGTGGTAACTGCATCTTGACTAAGATGCCTCTACTTGCTCAGAGATGATTGAGTGCAGCAGTAGTCCTTGTGGGTACTTTAGCTGCACACACATGAAAGCAGGTCCCTATTCAAGTTGAGAAGAAGCAAAATTTTCCCTAAAATGATCAAATGCACAAAAATCGTAGCTTTCGTTTAATTTATGAACAATGTTTGCTCATGTATACAACAATGAAAATGATCTTACCGAAGTGCCTGCGAATGTCTCACACTCATCTGCAACTTCGTAGAGAGCTTCCAATTCTTTAAATACAGATCTTGGAGAGATATGAACTGCCAAATATCCCATTTTTACACCAGACTGGAAGAAAAAGTAGGGAAACCGGTGTGGGTATGTAGAAAAAATACGTAGTATCACAGGTGTCGCAGCAATTCAGTTAATGTCAAATTCGACGGGGCAGTGATCGCTGACTTCTTTTGCCTAAAATAAGATTACCACCAACGTCACATGTCCTTATAACAAAATGAAGGGTCGGAGGTCACTGCGCTGCTTCAAGAGGCTGAGCACTGTCAGTGGTATAAACGAGTGTACACACGAAAGAGGTGCAGATGCATCCGCATCAGCAAAGCATCAAATTGATGCTACTTTCGGGCATATAAGTTTGCATTAGGTGTTAGGTGAAGGACAACTTGGTAACCAACCTTCTATAGGTCCAGCTTGTATTCCTCTCGAAAGTTGAAAGGATTTGCAGTAGGAATTCGTCTTTCCATTTCGGGGCTCTTGACTATGACCCTGCAAGTCACAGCGCATTCAATTCTCGCTTGCTCAAGCAGTGCTTCCTCTTCATATTTATCACACAACACAATGTTCATCCATCTCCTCATATTAAAAACAGCCTAATTTCACCCAGTATTATAGTGCAGTGATAATCGTTTTGGTTTCCTTGACGCTGAATGGTCGGCGTTTGTAGATCCTCACAGCGGTAAGGCCCCGGGGATCACGCCGGTAGCATCCATCTTTTCAGCACCTTAATGGTACATTTTCGACCCTAGTATCAGGTCTCCAATCATTTCAAGAAGCTGCAAGGTGCTACAGAGCTTCTTACTCGTTTAGGGATCAAAAAACCCCCAATAATGATGATCTGGAAAACCAAACTTCAGTCAGCCAAGGTAAAATTAGCTGTTACATTCAAGAAACTATCGTGAGGCTTCGTAAAACTCAGAATATGGTTCGAAATCGAATGAAGGATTGGAGATATATCATGTAAACTGAAAGAAATTTTAAGAATGGTTGTAGTGTGTAGGATGACTTAGGCACTCAGTAAGAAGTACTCAGGTTTAGTGTAGAGCATTTTTGATAAGCATTTCTATCCCATTGAAACATTGGCTGACAACCGAAACATATCATGGGCACGAAATCTGCCACTGTAGTGGAAATGAGGTGCAGCAATGTTGTCTATTTGTAACATCGGTAGACAATGTGTCTGGTAGGTTTGCCGTAATTTAAAGTGCGTGTGCTGCATCGGTATTGGCATGGGATCAGCTGCAGCAAGCAATTGCCTCCACAAAGTCTGCCCGCTAAGACAAAGCTTTAAATAAGAATTGACAAATGGAAAGGTGGATTTGTCATGGAATCATCAGTCATTTAAAAGAAAGGGTGGTATAACGACATTATTCTATCTTCGCTAAGGTATGTAGGTCTATTCACCCATCTCAGTCAAGTAAGCGAATGGGCCAGATATTTTTCTGCTGTCCAGACGACATGATGCAACTTCCGTTTTCAGATTTATCTTTTCTCACTTCACGGAATCTGTCGGTCCCGACATTAAGTAGCATTCCCATAAGATTTTTTGGACGGAGTGGTGAAATTAGAATAAACCATTGTTTTTTATCATGGCAATGCATATGTCAGGTGAAGTCTTCTATCTAAGCACCACGAGCTGCTTTGCTAAGGACATTGTTAAAACACACAGACACAAGATTAATAACACTCGATCGCTGAGAAATGAAGCGCCTTTCCCTGCATCACCGTCCTTCTTGTAGGCTGTGCTTCACTTACTTGCCAGGAGGTGTAAACAGAAAACACATTTAAATTCCCCTTTTATCTCCTTTGTGATCGGTGCTACACTGAACTGGAGGAACCTTGAAGCTATAAGTTAAAGTAAGTCGTTATTATAAAATCTAATTCAAGGATGCAAGTCGTTAAATCGATAACGAAGATGGATATGGATAGAGGCCGACGGGGCACGACATCCTCGACTACGCACCCCTTGGCCCTTTTCATTTTTACATATCAAGCTTTAGCTTACCGTTGGTGTAGTAAAACGCGGATTTATTACGTGAAAGCAGAAGAATAAAACTGTCTACTGTAACAACATCGAATGCCAAAAGTAAGCTTCCGACTTCTTGGTTAAATGAAATATAAGATTATTTACTACTTTGCTTAGGTAACGAACCATTCTTTTGATATCTGAGTTATTTCAAATTTGGCAGATTCACCAAACGCTAAACTGACAAATGAATTGCGTGGAGGTGGTTGTATGCTCTGAAAAGGCAAAACATTGAGAGAGAAACGAGAGTGATTCATGCAAGTGACAGAAGAAAAATGAACCTGTCATAGGCGCAGCATGTTTCGAATACAGTCGTGTCCATATCATCCGCAATGCGCCATTTATACCGAATGTCTCTTCTCAAACGAAGTTTGTCTCGATCTTCCTTAGAGAGGTAAGAGCAATTGGCGTTCATGTCGCCCAAAAAGACCGGATTCTAAGGGGTTGAAGTGGAAATCGTAGATGTAACCTCAGTTCGTGCATTTCCCTTAACTACGCGGTCCGTTTTTATTGACCAACACATTGTTTTCATTTACCAACAATCTGACTTTCAATTTGGTGCCATGTAGCTTATAATCTCCCATTTATTTTGCCCATTTGTGGTAACTGCATCTTGACTAAGATGCCTCTACTTGCTCAGAGATGATTGAGTGCAGCAGTAGTCCTTGTGGGTACTTTAGCTGCACACACATGAAAGCAGGTCCCTATTCAAGTTGAGAAGAAGCAAAATTTTCCCTAAAATGATCAAATGCACAAAAATCGTAGCTTTCGTTTAATTTATGAACAATGTTTGCTCATGTATACAACAATGAAAATGATCTTACCGAAGTGCCTGCGAATGTCTCACACTCATCTGCAACTTCGTAGAGAGCTTCCAATTCTTTAAATACAGATCTTGGAGAGATATGAACTGCCAAATATCCCATTTTTACACCAGACTGGAAGAAAAAGTAGACTGTTAGCTATTTTTTGGTTTTACTAAATTTCTTTAACAGATTAGACTTCAGTGCCCCCCTCCTAGCTCATTTAGTGTACAGTTGTTTCAGAAAGGTGTTTTTACTCTTTACCTCTTTCCAGAGACCAC